TGTCAACATTTTTTGTCTTCATTTTTTGTCTTTCATTTTTGTTCTTCTGTTGCCTTCATGAAGTATTAAACGATTGGTCAGGAATACTGACCAAAAACATCGCAGGCTCAGTGGTATCGAATTACCGATATATACTTTTTGCGAGTATCGAAAGTATCGATACTTTTGTAAGTATCGATGATTTCGATACGTTGTCGATAGTATCGCCCCAGAGGTATCGCCCATCACTATTGTCACCTTACTCACCTATATTAAAACGGTGCTTTATTATTAAATACTCACGAAGACAATTCAAACATGGCTCGTTTATTTGATGTATGGTCTGCACGTCATGAGTCGCGACAAGTCGATCTAGCTTTTGTTGTAGATTCTACGCAATCTATGGGTTCATATATCGTACAAACACAAAGCCACATCCAAAACATAACAAGGGGAGTTAGAAGAGCAGCTTTCGATGTTCGTCTTGCATTGATCGGATATCGCGACCATCCTCCTCAAGATACCACTTATGTCAGTAGATGTCATGATTTTACAACCAGTGTCATCGAAATGCAAGGTTTGTGAGTTAAATATTCGAAGTGACTATATGACCGGCAGCCGGTCACGGTTTATCAAATACTAAATGGCCGGCAGTCTAGTGACTATTGTTAAAGTTGAATTTTTATAAGATAAACCTATCCCCAACCCCAAACCCTTTTCTAACCCTAACCCCTAAGTCCTAACCCTAACCTTTTGAGAGTTAGAAAAGTCGGGAAAAAAAGTTTAAAAAATTTTAAGAAAAAACAATGCTAAATCAAACAAAACACATCCCGACCCCGACTGCGTTTAACTTTTCGCACGCAGCGCCCTTGCCGTATGAGCTAACGGCAAGCTCGGTAAAATTTAACGCAAACAAAAGTTTTTATATTTAACTATAGTCACTAGACTGCCGGCCATTTAGTATTTGATAAACCGTGACCGGCTGCCGGTCATATAGTCACTTCGTTAAATATTTGATATCTGTTTATATATAAAATGAGTCCGAAAGC